GGGATGGCCATGCCGTAATCCTTTCTCCTCCATTCTCCTCTCAGGATCTTGGACACGCAGGCACACACACCCGGCGTGAGTTTAAGTAACTGGGTCTGGGACATGTACCATGGTCAACTACATGGGAGTCCAACGACGTAGCCATTATACCAACTACTGGTCATGGTAGAAACATTTCTAAGCATCATAAAAGCACATGTACTCCCGGAGTTAACATTCTCGGGATATAGACTAAAAGAAGGGAGATTTAATGGAAAATGGTAAAAAAAAAAATATATATATATATATATATAAATAAAGGGGACCATGTATATCAACTACAATATCCCATCAGTTCTCACTGCAAGCTAAATCCCAGCACTAGGCACTGTGGCAAATACACTATACACATTATCTCTACTACTAATCTTTGAATTAATACTAAAATCATCTGCATTTCAAAGAAGAAAAAGAAAACCTCATGGGTTAATAATAGCAGAGCCAAGATCTGAATCACAAACAGTGAGCTCCAGAACCAAGTCACTGAACCACTAAATTATATTATTAAAAAAGCAAATATAATTTGCTATTTTTTAAGAACTCCAATGAGCTAATCAAATATATAAAAACCGCTGCTGGTACTTCGAGCTGACACGTAATAAGTACTCCCTAGGTGCCATATTCTATGAGTCTCGCATGCATTTATTTTTAATTCTTCATATAAACCAGGTAAGGTAAAGACAGATATGACTGTATAAATTAGAAGTAGAATTTAAAATAATCAAGGAAAGTTTTATGAAAGAAGCTTGGTTTAGACTAAAAGGAAGACATGAGCCCAGCACAACTCAGTAACTCAGATGCTATTCAAGTTTCTGAAGAAACATCAATTCATTGGTTTTGGCTCATTAAAAAATCTTTCAAGTTCACTACTGAACTGTTTCGTGTCCTGAAAATCAAAATTTTGTAAAATCAGAATGAAATAAAGAGAAATCAAGAACCCAGAATTTGGAAGAAAAGGAACCTATGGAGTATTTAATGTATCAGTGAAAGAAAATTGAAACTTGAAATTTGCACACAAAAAAACCCCTGCAAATATCTGTTAAAAAAAAATAGAGTTTTTTGAGGTGTCAAGATTAAAATATTTCGGGGCATCATTTAACAATATGGACACACTCTGAGGGATGCACTCATAAGTGCTTTTGTCATTGTGTGAACATCACAGAGCACACTTACATAAATCTAGATGGAGCAGCCTTCTACACACCTAGCATAGTCCATTATCATCTTAAACATGGTCCACTTTTGACAGAAATGTCAATATGCAGCACGTGAATACATTTCAAACTGTTCCTACTTGACAAAATACGATGTGAGGTGCTAATATCTCAGGCTTGCTATTTGGACTAAGGAGGAAACAAAGTAAATGCCCTTGGTGTTGGAGTTGAATCCAATTTAAATCCCAATTTGGCTGTGACACTATCCTTGAGACTCTGAGAAAGTAACTCACTTTGCTTTCTAACCTAAAATATAGGGGTAAATTCTTCTTCACAGAATACTAAATAATGTAACAGACATGTGTATATGACATACGTTTAATAAATGGCAAAGTGTATCACTTTCACTAATCATGGATCTACTGGAAAAAAAAAATCACAGTTCTTTGATCCTGTCTTTGTGAAGATTACACAATTAAAAATAAAAAGGATCAAAAACTAAATTGCAAAATGGGGAAATGAGGGGATTAAACTGTTGAAGTAACTGGAAAAAAGTAGGAAATAAAAAATTTACCAATCTTAAAACTTTTTGGAAAGCAATCACTGTATTAATTGTAAATGACAAAATAAGCAGTCAAATATCATGGGACTCTCAGTTCAAATTCCAAATACAACTACCAGCATAGGAAGGTTTTATCTGTTATACAAGGTAAATTAGCAACTAAGAAATGACTTCAAGGGGCAAACAAAGAATATATATAAATTTGGAGTCAATTGTAATTATGTGCCCTACAGAAGACAGGGCTCAAAATAACCCTAAGACTAGTCAAAGAATATTGAAATCATACAAGCCTTAAATATCCATATCTGTAATGCGTAAATTCTAAAATTTTCTAAGACTCACATACATTTCAAAAACTCATGATTCCAGGGGTGAATGTTAGAGCATAGAGTAGGGAAGGAAAAAAAAAATAGAAGAGGAAGGTAAATGAGTTTAAGATAGAGAATTGCAGATTAGACTAAGAGCTCTCTGAAGGCAGAATCTATGAAAGCCTTGCAGGTAACATATACTCAATGTTTATTAGTGAAGAAAATATGGATCTACAGCAAAGAAATAAAGAAGAGCTGAATCATAAGAAAATTGCAACACGGGTGGACTACAGTGCTGAGCCATTAGAAATCAGAAGTTATAGGGACCAGCAGTTAGCGTAATGGCTATGTCGCTGGACTCCCAGGTAGTCGACCATGGTTTGCGTCCCAGACCTGGTGGCTTAAAACTCACGAGGGGTGCGTGTGCGTGTGTGCCCAAGATCCCAAGAGGAGAATGGAGAAGGGATTGCGGTGTGGCCATCTCCCCTGGGGGGGGGGATTTCTCACTTTCTGTCTCTCTGTCTCTCTCTTTCTGGCAAGTGCACACGCTCTGTAACAAAAACCTCTCCAACAACAAAAAAAAAGAAATCAGAAGTTATACATGAAAGTTTACAACCAAAAGCTTCAAAGAAAGCAAGGTATGAAACTGATATTTACCACAATCATTCTCCCATCAGAAGTAATAACAGCAACAGTTCCTGATTATTTAATCAAGGAAAGAATTTCTAAGGAAATGCAAAATGAAAACCAGACTCTCAGAAGCAAACAGTTAAAATTACTAGTTTACTCTAGTTGATAGAATTAAGATACACCTATTTAACACAGCCACATCTTTTAATTTATTTTTAAATTCTGTCTTTATGATGATTACAGAATTTCAAACGGGAAAAACAAACTTTTCAGTATGCGATCATATATTCTAAATAGCTAGAATACTTGTAACTCTTTTATTAGAAATGTCCCTAAATCGTGATTCTGGGTACATTAACCCGTGTCCCCTTCATGAACATTGTACAATGTACTGTTGTTTTTTTTCTGTCAATGAAGGTGAGACCTTGAGCCGTATACACAGGCAGAAACTGAATTTGTGGAACACCTTTAAACTTTCTGCTACCCTCGAACAATGAGCAAAGCCTGTTAATAAAACAGGGACACAGATGCAGAAAACCCTCTTTGCCACTAGTGCAACTGCTCATCTTATTCACACACTTGCGTACAGGCCCTAGAGAAATAGTCAAGCTGAATCAATACGGCATTTTTACAGAAACAAAAACATTCGGAAACATCGCGCTGCGTTTCTGTTTCAGGACAAAATTAAGAGGCTAGTACCCACCGGAGAGGGGAGCTCGACCACCGGCGCGAGCTGGCCTCTCTGAGGTCCTTCCCTTCACTCGCACCCCAACCCCACCGCGGCTGGGCGTCCACACCGCCCGGGGATCCGGACCCCTGCTTGTGCCCCACCGGCCCCGCTCCAGTGTGGACGCCTGCCCCGCCATGGTCTTCTCTAACGCCCGCGGCGGCCAGCACAAGGATACGGTTGATGTAGTTCTCCAAGGCGGACGTCATACTGCTGCCCTAGCCCGGCGGTTCAGGGTAACAGAGTGGCGACGGCTGCAAGTAGAGCTAAAAAGGCCCGCCAGAAGCAGGCAGAGGCCTGCGCCCACTGGCGTCAACAAATAACGCGAGAGTTGCTGCACTTTAGCTGCCGCGAGTTGGAAACTCAGAGCAACCGGCCAACCAAACAGACCGAAAGCGGTGACGAAAAGGTGCGCCTGCGCAGTGTGTTTCCGCCCCACTTCCCCCCTCGGCCTCCCGCCCCTGGACTCCAGGGCTGTGAGCCGGAAGCCGGGAGGGACAAAAGCGAGCAGGAAGAGGAAGACGAGGCTTCCCAGAGGTGGGGTAGGGGGGAGGGGGCGAGTTTCCCAGTGAAGTATAAGGCTACGTGGTAGAAGTTACCAAGGGAAAATGCGCAGACAGGGCAGGCAGTTAGAAACAGAATAAGGTGTTTTCGTTATGGTCAAAGAAGTAAGAGGGGTGCTTTCCTGTGATATGTAGGTACCAGAAAGTGGAAGCCCAGTTTTCTCCACCATGGGCTGAGAAATTAGATGAAAATGAAGCTGTATAGCCCCGGATATAGTTGTGTTCGTTATAACGTCACAAGGTACGATTTTGGAGACCCGGCAAAGAAAAACGTGTTTGTATAGTCTTCCGTTGTCTCCAAAATGTTCTAAAAAGGCAGGCGTTCCTCTCTTAACTAAACCCAAATCTGGGTGTGTGGACTTCCCTTAGGAAACAGATACTGATACTTGTTCCACCACACCACGAGGTTTCCTTTTCACAGTCAAAATTAGTACATAAAAGGCTGTAGCATGGACATGAAAGAACGGATAAGGGTCTTCTAGATAAACACCAACCTAGTGCTGGCTCTGCTAAGAATTGGTGTCTTTGTACAGGTCACTTCAACTCTTCTGCGCCTGTTTCCTTAGAACCTGTCACAGCTATATCATTTTGGGTATTTCTGGATGATAGTAGAAAACATCACTGTGACCCCATTATTTTGTTGTGACCTAACTTGAAAAGACTTGATGTTAGAAGAGGATCTATACACACAACCCTGGCAGGAGCGACTTTCCTTTTGCACAAAACATCATAATTTCAGTTTGGCTTGCACTTTCTTAACTGAAGAATTGTGGCTTTAAAATAACTCTTGTAATGTCAGCATTTTTTGTCCAAAAAGTGAAGCATCTATTTTCACTAGAACATACCCATCAAATCACAAGATAACACCCGAATAGTTAATGTTTTATATACTTGAATCTTATTTGGGGCTATTTGAAATTTAAAATAGTCAGGAATCTGGTGATAAGTGTTGCATATATGTGACAAAAGTATCTTCCATAAATGCAGATTTGAACATTTTATGTGATTTGCAATGTTGCACATTAACCAAATGCCAAAGTACATTATAATCAATAATAAATAAGAACTTGTTAGTAAGGCGGTTAAAAGAAGTAACCTGTGCATTGCATTCCTTATAGGGTGTTTATGTTTTGAAACGTTTACTAGCATTGTATATTAATTTACGGAACTGATTTCATCATAAATACATTATAAGTTTATGACCTTATGCTTTTTCATTAATATGCCATACAAACAGCAGATGTGCAGTGCTTATAGGGCATCACAAAATCTCTTAGACATTTTTTACACATGTCTTAAAACTGCTATATTATACTCCCTCAGGATAACGGATAACAGATATGGAGAGAAAACCTATGGATAAAAAAGGGGTATTCATATATAAAGACATATTACCCATATTACAAATGTGATTATCTGAATTGTGACCTTGGCTGTACATATAGAGTTCAGCCTCTCATAAAGGAGAATAAAGTTGAGGCTTGAACAGAGAAAAGCACGCATAAAATATCTTTTTTTGTTTGTTTGTTTGTTTTTTGCTATAGGGAGCGTATGCTTGCCAGAAAGAGACAGAGAAACAGAAATCAAGAAAGAACCGCCCATGGGGGATGACCATGCCACAATCCCTTCTTCTCTCAGGATCTTGGGCATGCACACACATGTACCCAGCATGAGTTTAAACCGCTGGGTCTGGGACTTGAACCCCGGTCAACTACATAGGAATCTAGTGACGTAGCCATTATCCCAACTGCTGGTCCCTGACACAAAATATCTTACAACGTAAAAATTAAGCAGTACCAGGAACAGCAGATAGTATAATGGCTATGTTGCTGGACTCTCATGTAGTCGACTGTGGTTTGAGTCCCAGACCCGGTGGCTTAAGACACACTGGGCGCATGTGCATGCATGCCCAAGATTCTGAGAGGAGAATGGAGGAGAAGAGATTGTGGCATGGCCATCCCCACTGGGGGGTGGGGGGGATGTTTCTCACTTTCTGTCTCTCTGTTTTTCTTGCAAGTGCATGTGCCCTTATAGCAAAAACCTCTCCAAAAAGAAAAAAAAAAATTTTAATTAAACAGTACTGTGAGACTTCCAGTTTAATTCAAGTCAAAATCTCTCAAAGTGCTGCTCATTTAAATGATACTCTGTCACTGATAAAGCATTGATCAAAGTATGCTTGGATTAGATACTTACTTTATTCATTAGTTCTAAATCTAGATCTTGAACAGGAAATGTAAACTTGAAGGATCAGATTTCTATTAGAATCTGGAGGCATTAAGTTTGTGCTGCCCTATGGACAGTTCATAGAAAACCATATTAATAGTAATTTTAAATTAAAGTAATATTTATTTTAACCTAATTTGATGGGAACTTTTGTGTTTGACTTATTTATGTCCTTGCAAGTTGCAAAGGAATCAACCCAAGGGCAATATATATTAAATATATCTGTTTAGGGTTCTAGGCAGAAAAGAACATATATATCATGATCTTTCCTTACAAGGAAATCTCTGAATTGTTAGAGTTTCAGTTATCAACATGAAATAATTAGTGCATAGAAAAAAAGAAATAGCCCAAATTACAAATAAAGATAAGTTATACAGAAATCTTAGTTCATTTAATATAATAAATTACCAAGTTTTTCATTTTTTTTCATTTAATAAAGACAGGTATTTTTAATTTCATTTCTTAAGGAATGGAAAAAATAAAACTGGTTTGTTAATTTATAAGCAGTACAAGGTCATGATTAAGAACACTGAATCAGGGACCAGCAGTTGGCGTAATGGCTATGTCGCTGGACTCCCACGTAGTTGACCGCAGTTTACGTCCCGGACCCGGTGGCTTAAAACTCACGCCGGGCGTGTGTGCGTGCGTGCCCAAGATCCCAAGAGGAGAATGGAAGAGAAGGGATTGTGGCATGGCCATCCCCCCTGGGGGGTGATTTCTCGCTTCCTGTCTCTGTCTCTCTGTGTCTGTCTGGCTAGCACACGTGCCCTATAGCAAAAACCTCTCCAAAAGAGGAAAAAAAAAAAAAAGGAAGTAAAATAATAATAACCTCAATGTAAAATTTTCTTAAATGTATTTACATTTAAAAATTAATATTTATGCATGTATACATACTATATTATTATATATAACATATATGTATATATAGTGTGTATATATACACATATAACTGAACATTACAAATGTAGAATGGGGCCAGCCAGTGGTGTAGTGGTTGAGGTGGCTGAATCTGACAGAACTGACTGCATGTTTCAAAATCTGGACCTGGCTGTTTAAAAAGCATGCTGGGTGCTTGCCTGAAATACTGAGACGAGAGTAGGGGAAAAGGGATTGTAGCATGGCCACCACCATGGAATGTGCTTTCTCATTTTCTTTCTCTCTTTCTCTCTCTGGTGAGCACATACACCCCATAGCAATTTTTTTTTTTTTAATGTAGAATGGGTCCCCATATCAGACCCCATTCTCTCTTGCTTAAAGAGTAAAACTAGGGTACAATAGATGATGGAATGGTTTGCGTCACTGGATTCCCACATAGCTGATGGCAGTTCAAGTCCTGGACCCAGTGGCTTAAACTCTTGCTAGGCACGTATGCATGCATGCCCAAAATCCCAGGAGGAGAACTAAGACTCAGAACTGTCCGGATTTAGATTTTGTGTGACTTAACCTTCCATGCCTTGCTTTCCCCATCTGTAAAATGCAGAAAATTATGGCACTTGCCTCATCAAATTGTTGGGGAACTGAAAGTAATTCTTGTAAAGTCTGACATGTATTAAGCATTCAATAAATGTAAGTTATTGTTCAATGGCAGAGACTACACCATAGTAAACTTTCTGTAAATACCAAAATTTATTCCAATATAATATTTTGACCATTATCTTTCTCTGGAGAGGGAAATTGGAAAAATGCAACAGTGTACATTTTAAATGTTTAAGGTGAATATGTGTTAGAATCTCCAATGGTTTGATGAAAATATAAGATTTAAATTGGGGCTCAAGAGAAAGTACAAAGAGACTCCAGGAAAATTACCCTAATATTACTATGTAGTGGATGTAGGAACTGATAATAAGAATAACAGCAGTAATCTAAGTGTGAGTTTCTAATTTGTAGTAAGAATGGAAAGTCAGAAAACGTGATTTAAGGACAAAGGTTAGGAAAGACAGTGGGAAAGACAGCAAATCATGGACAGTCTAGTAATAGTGATTGGTGAATCAGAAGGAGAGCAAGAATAGGAAGGCCTCAGAAAAGGCAGGACTGCATGTTAGCAAAGCAGGTGGAGCCAATCTATGGAACTAACTCATTGTCTAATATTCCTTTTGTACAGAGATTTAAGAGAACTGGAAAATAACATTGTCAGAATGGAACACATGGCTGAACCAAGCCTGAGGAAGAACAGGGTGCCACACAGTAACAGGACGTCATTGAGAACTATATTCTTCCAGACCGATGTTGTCTTGAAATAATCAACTATATTACTTGTCCATCAGCCGTTTATTTCTTTGTAGCACAGGACATGAAAACACTGAGGAAAATTAGGTATGAACCAACCCACCTTCTATAATATTGCAACATTACTCCCCAGTTTAACATGTGAGCTGATGTGTATTATAAAAAGCTGTTCTAGGCCAGCTGTGGTGGTGCAGGGCTTCACAATACTGGGCCTACATGCAAAGGACCTAAGTTTGTGTAACAAGGCCTCCTGTACATGCCGGGTGTGCAAGTTACCCATGTCCACGATCTTAGCTGGCTGAAGCTGGCATTTGAGCTCAGCAG